TAAGTTAGGGGAAGAGATGTCAGCACGTTGAAGATGCAATTTTATTAATGTATCGTTCATTATCCGAAAGGTATAGTAATACTTGTTAACGTGAAATTGTTTACACAATGAGCGATGTATGCAATTTTTCAGTTTTATCGTGTTAAATTCGAAAAATCTGCGAAGATTTATTTAAACGAAGTGATGAGTAGGGCTCTTATAATATTGTACTCTTGTTTGTTAAAATTTTTATTAAGTATGGGTGCGAGATGCCAGTTTTGCACAGGTAAACATATAATTATATAAAACTACAACATTTTACGGTAACTTAGGACGATTATTTTCAGCAGTGTTATATGTAAACGCTTAAATATCATATTGCAAAAATTTCGAAGCGTTGTCATTATTCGTTTGCTCATATTTCTATAATATATCTTGACTATGGCATTTTTCTCCGACTTGTTTTATAGTGTGTAAAATAAAATTATCTCTTTTAATACAATTCTGAGAAATATACATATAAACTTGAATTTTATTTGCTGCAAAAAATTTTATAATTTTTGTTTCTGTATAGATAATTTTCTCACACATTTTAAGTGCAGACATCAGAAATTATCGTAACGTAATTTGTAGAATTAACGAAATTTACATACAAAATTTGGGGATGTGAAATTTCGTGTGTGAAACTATAATACGATTTACATTCGGCAATTTCTGCGACAGATTGCGGCAGAAAGTTCAAAGCTTTTCCATATTAATAATTTTTTTTTTAAAAACGTGTCTGCGCGACATTAATTATGATTCAGCCTTTTTATGGTTAATATTACTGCATATTCCGTGTTGGTATCAAACGACTTTTTGTCGTGAAATTTTGCGAAGTGTTTAAGGGAACGTGTTTTAAGAAAATAGAAAAGACTTTAATCTTGAATGTCGATGCAATTAAAATTAGCCGTGTGTAAATTATTAGGTTCTTTGCAGAATCTTCAAAGGTGTTCGAGGCAGCAGCAAGCAGCAGGCGTTATACACTCTTATAACAGCTTTCGTTTGATCATAGAGCCTGCGTTGTGACTGTCAATGAAATCCGCCCTGCAGCCTTCTTTGCGCGACCTAATCTTTATTCTGCGTCGAAGTTTTCGTAATTCTTATCGTAGTTGCCTTCCATTTTTCTTGACGACAAAAATTTAGACTATACGGAGGATCCGGAAAAAGGACGCTTTTAAGAGTATCTAGCGAAGTTTGCCCTTTAAAAGGAACGTTCTACTTTATGTTTTCTTAAGTTGGTTGCAGAACAAGGGAAAAATCATTCTTCGTAAAATTGATTATGCATTAAGGATGGTCGCAAGAACGTGGGTTTCTTGAATTTTTTTCTGGAATATGTTATGAAAAGTTGTCCTTGATTAAAATAAAAAATAGATTCTTACATTATCGAAAAGTATTACAAAGAAGTTTTTATGGATTAAAAAAATTGTTTTTTTATCGCAATGTTGTAGTCAGAAAATGTGAAAAAAAAAAGATTTATTTTTATTGTACATATGTACGTCTTTCAGTATCTTTGTCATATTTAAAATCTTTATTTCAAAGAATCAGTATAGTGTGATTATCGAAATTATTATTAAAGTGTTTTATCTAATTTGTATAAGAAGATAAGCAGCAGAATCTTTTGACGATTTTCTTCCTTTCATTTTCTCGCCTCTCCTTTTCACTTTTTAACAATTCTTTTTAATGTTACCCCGCTTTGCTAATGTCTCTGCTATTATACTCACGCACTTAACAATCGTATTTCGCATAAGCGTACTGGTGTAATCCATTTGTGTGCTGTGAATTTTTAAGCTGAAAATTTTACTGCAGCGTTTTTGTGGTCGCAAAGGGTCGTTGCCATTTAACATCATCTTATAGCAAGGATTCCACCGTGAGATATAAAATTTGAATGTCGCTAGGACTTTGTCAGTCTCCGGCGTGCGCGGTAATATTGATAATTGGGTTACCGCTATTATAGCTGTAATCTGGTTCGCTGCATTCGTAATACTCCCGAGCCTCGATAAAGCTATTTAAATAGAATTTTATATATCGTCATTGTGTAGATATCTGGATGTCGAGGAAATACATTTACGCATCGAGGGATTATGCGATTGTTAATATGACTGTGTACGAGCATTGCGTTTTACGTAATCGTCGGCTTAACCGATAAAACATTTAAATCTCTAAATGTTTTAGTTACTTTGAAATTGCTTGCATAACAGGATTTATCTTCTAATTAATATCGAAATAAAAGAAGTCTATAGTATAATGAAATATAAAAGAAACCTTTGAAGACTGACCATACTATTCATACTACTTATAATCTGTTTCGATTATATATATAAGTGCATTTCTTTTTGTATTAATTTGGTTATTTAAAATTCGATATCGTTATTAAATAATATTTGCCAATTGTTGCGTTTATTAATTAAAAATATATTTCTACATATTTTGATTCGCTTGCAAAATATAATCGCGAGTTATTAATTGCATAGGAATGTTCAATGATTGCGGTTGATGCGATGAAATTAATGAACTCCATTTAATAAATTGCGAAATTTATAAAATGATTTTATTAGCTTGGGGAATTGAGTATTCTTTTATTTTGCGTTGATTGTAAATTGTTTTCGAATTGATCCAGTCGCGGTCAACGTCAACAATCGCCATTAGAATGACGTTTGTGTCGCATGAAGTATTATTAATCAAACTTTGTGATAGAGTTAAAAATGTAAAAATTACTTTTATGCCGTTCAGCTGAGATATGCAAACGCGAGCTCGTCACGTCCAAAAATGCATAGAAATATTGTGATCATGCCGCGCAATTCCTATTTCGTCGAATATATTTCAACTATATTCTCGTCTCGTTCGACACGAGTTTCGAGACCATTTCTCACGAAAAACCCATCAGACTTTCACGATGCCCGGATTAACGACATGCGGCAAGAATCAGCGGAAGTGCGAGTCGACAGATAAAACATTCGCGAATAGTGCGCCCCGCGTATTTTCGCGCTGCGGGCTGTCGGCGTCGCCGTCGTAGCAGGGTCTGAATTTTCCATGAATTAGCTGGAATAGTGTAGCTGCAGGAGAATTTCTGCTTCTTCGTGTACCGGTTTAAGTTCCGGATGGGTTAGTTCAACGCGAAACGTCTTTGGTAAGGGTGCTGGATAAACGGGTAGATAGATAGGAGTTTTATTCAGAATCTTCGAGCGTTTTCAGGATTACACGAAGAGTCGGGGAAAAAGTACGGATAAACTCTGTAACCGCTCGCGCGAAACTATAAAATATTCTTGAAGATTACTTTACTCGTATGACTCATTGTGTGTTATTTGCATGAATCACAGGAGGAAAGAGAGTTTTATCAGTGGGTTCAGTGACTCCGATCATATCCTATTTCGATCCGATCAATTGTTTTTTCGAAAATTTGTTATCGCGTTGGCTTGTGACATTTTATGGATCATGTTGAAACGATTCAACTTATCCATTATCGAGTCCATTAACCGAGAATAGCTATATGGGAATCGGAGAAACCGCAACCGCACGGAGGGTTTCGTTTGCCGCAGTTCGGAGAAACCTCCATTTTCGGTAAACCTATTGCTTCCGGCAATATCGTTGTCGAGCTTTAAACGAAATCGTTTAACCTTAAAACCTTAAAACTTGCTTGACACGCGACTCTACTTAAGACGCTGCACATATTGCGCTGCACATTTGCGCGATATAAAATAAATATAAACTTTGCAAGATTTCTTCAGAATTTCTTGATTGCTTCAAGTCTCTGCCACAATCTTTTCTATATTAAATATAGTTATATTTACTTTACTTATATGAAATATACTTATGTTAGTATTTGTGAAAGATGCTAAAGACTTGAAATTATTATGAAATGCTTAATGTCAAGTGATCTAGGAAACATAATTATTTCTTTATTATTGCTTTCGCTATTTTAAGATTAATTCCTATTGTACCTACCATTTTTTTTCTTCTTGTAAGATATATACATAATTAGCAAATGAAAAATATGTTATTCGTTTCTTTCGTAGAGTTCTTTCTCCAACGAGAAATGAACAATTACGATCATTTGACTGATATTAAGATCGAGGGTTTGCTCGCGGTTCCTGCTCGCTTTTACTGATTGGAAAAAAAAAATGATAAGAAAAGAAGTGTATTTGAAGGAGACATAAGCTTTCTATGCTATTATACATTCTTTGTCTTATTGTTCGTTTAGATAAGTGAAGATAGTTGAAGAGAAGTGCCTATAATTGTTTTCTCTTATAATGTTTGTACTTTTAATGATTAGGATACTCTTAACTGAATACGCATCAAATTGGCATATTAAACGGATGTATTCTTAAATGGATATATTAGTTATGTCGTATTTTTTATTTGGTATTTTTAAAGTTCTACGAATGATTTCTTTTGCACTAAAAGACAATCAAAAAATACATTAATAATTATAAAATTAAATCAATTAATTTTATAATAGATATCTAATAAATAACAACAAAATGTATTAATTTTTAATTAGACCGTATATATTGCATGATTTTAATACAGTTTTAAATAATTTTATATTTTTAATAAACAATTGTAATATGTCGGCCATTTCGCGACGCCAAATATTTCTTAGATGAAAAATCAACAATGGTAACTTTATCAGGCTTTTGCGCGGTAAAAACTATTGTGCTAGAGGATTAAAGAGATAAATGGCATAATAGGAAGGGGAGAAAAAGAGAAAGAGAGAACGAGGAAGAGAGAAAAAAAGAGAAACCAGACGGCATCATCCCGAATATAATTTCAGTTTACGTATCGGGGGGAGGGGGGAGCTAGGGGGAACGCAGAACGACTCTGCGTAAATACAAACTGCAATGTTGACCTGCCTTTTCTGAGACTCGAATCCTGTTACGTACGACCCACGGCGATGTTTCATTTCGCAATTGTGACGATGTCGCCGATCCGATTACATCGCTCGTGCGTGATATATATATATCGGGCCTGTTTGTTCGCAGAAAGGGAAGTCTGGTATGAAGCGGCGACGCGGGCGATCGAGACGCGGATCAGGGAGGCAGCGAGCAGCAGCGTCAGCGGCACGACGCCGCCGGCCGGGGTGGCGCGCGGCGTCGTCCTCTTCGTCGGCGACGGCATGGGGATGAGCACCCTCACGGCGGCGCGGATCCTCGCGGGTCAGCGGCACGGGAATCCGGGTGAGGAGACGCAGCTCGCGTGGGAGAGCTTCCCGGCGGTGGCGTTGGCGCGGGTGAGTACGAGAAAGCGCAGATTGTTTTTTCGTCTTTTTTCTTTTCTCGGAAACGCGCCACGTAAAACCGTTGCTTTACGTGCATCAAATTTGTTGCGGTAAACTGTCCGTGGTCGAAGCACGCAAATCGTTAAATTGGCGCACGTAAGACCGACGATTTACGTGTTGCGCCGAGTTTGCTGTAAATTGGAAATTGAAAAATGTCTTCGAACAAACGAAAACAGCGTTTTGTATAACACGAGTGTTATACTTCTTAAAACATAAATTTCCGGTATGCGCAGCAGCCTAAAGTTTTGCTCTCAGGGCAAATTCTATTTTAGTAAATATAATAAAATACTCCGATTATCTCGGACACTGGTTATTTAAACGTCGATTATCTTTGATCGCGATGGTCGAACATGTATATATATGAACAGAAATCTTAATTTACATCAAAGCTGCATATTTTGATTATATTTATTTTATATATATTCTCCTGTTATATTCTCTCTTAATATTTCGCGCTTGTTTTCCTTTTTTTTGAGAATGTATGTAAATAATCGATAGCACGTATATTACTTCAACCCGTCCGGATATTTGGCGTCTTATTGTATAACCCCTCCTGTTAACTTAGCGAATTCCTTGGTAGAGTTAAATTTTTTTTCGGTAAAAATAGGATCGAATATTATTCGCAGAATTCAATTTTTCGCATGAAATAGTTCGATAACTATGCATGAAATGAAAATTGCTATTGAGATAAAATACACGGAAAATAAAATAAAAAATAAAATATTGTTATTTATCCGCATCACATGGATCAAACTTAGAATTCCAATGATTTTTAATTAAAATGCTGCTACTGCTGCTGCTGTCTCGACATTTTTCTTAATTAGGTGATTTTTATGATCGAAAATGATTACGACACACATAATGCCTACAACACCTACGACTTATACTGTGAGAACCATCGCGCATACGTGTTTTTCTTCCGATCATAACGCGGATAACCTGGAGAATTTGCTGATGGCCGTTTAATATGCGCGAAGAAAAAAATTTAATGTGCTGAATTCACTTCGTTAAGGCAGCGAGATATTTGCATGGAAATTTAATCGAAACGTGTGTACACACACTTGCGCATGGATCACAGATCGCTTATTCGTATTTTAATTAAGCTAATGGTTAAACGCTCGTGTCTGCTTTTTTTTTGTTTATTATCGCGGACATCTTTTGCACTGCAAACAAAAGTATTCGCGTATATTAATATCCGCGTCGTATTTAATTTTTGTAATTTGTAATTTTTGTAAAATCTGTTGGTCTTGTTTTGCCAAACAAGTTTGTTAAAACTCGTATCTCTTCGCTTTATTTTCCCATCTCTTGACATGTGTCAAGATTTATTCGTTAACTGAAAGAAGGTTTTGGTTATAATAACCGAGGCTTGGTGAAATAGTTTCAACTAAAGGGTTTAGTGATTATGACAAAATATTTGGTTAATGTTAACCAAATTTGTTAACATTAACCAAATTTGTTAATATTAACCAAATTATTTCGTCATAATCACTAAACCCTTTAGTTGAAACTATTATTTCACCCAGCCTTGGTTATTATAACTAAAACCTTTTTTCAGTGCTCTCTTTCGATTTTTCCTTGATTTTCCTCGGTGAGCAAAGGCACGGATTAAAAAAAAATTTTTGCCGAAGACCCTTCGGGATTGAGAAAACTACTCGGTACTGCTTGAAGATTTATTTATCAACTGGCACTCTCCTTTGTCATTATAACAGAACTGAAGATTTATAACAGCTTTTCCATCTGTCATTTTTCATAATATTAATTTATTAGCTCCATAAAGCTTGAGAATAAATATTCTTTTTAATCTCCGGCACTTCCTTTGCTCTCGCCACTAAAGAATAAAAAAAAATAAAGAAGAAATATTGTCGCGTATCGAATTTGTTAAACGTATTTATTATTCTAGATATATTTATGATACTCAGAAACCGTAATTAGAATATGAAAAAAAACTGTTTATTTTTTAGATATTTATGCAAACAGAAATGTAATATGCTATCTCGCTATTATTTTACTGTGTTATTTCCATTTAGGAAAATCTGTAGGAAAATACACAAATGGATATATAATCTTTTTCGAGATTTCAAAAATATATTTTTTTAAATTTACCATATCTAAATGTAAATTAAATAAGCCGATTTATCTTACGCTTACGATTTATTTAGCATTTTTAATAATAAAGTAGAATGTTATTCAAGCTAATTCAATCTCAAGAATTTAAATAAGTAATGAAATTTTATTATAAGATAAGATAAAAACTTTTTTTATTATAATCTAATCTGAACTAAATTTTTCAAGAATTTAATTCAGGATTTATTCATTAAGATGCTCTGCTTTAAAGATTAAATGCATTCCCTAAGAAGTTTTTATTAAAAGAGATCAACTTTAAATCTCGTAGCATCTACAGATTATTCGGCTAAAAAAGTAATGTTAATACGGCTGTATAAATAAACACGTATTATTATAATATAAATATGGATTATATGTGTTATAAAAAACGAAATTTTTCGAAACGGAAGAGATTAAGTACATAGAATATTTTAAAAATAATGTATGTGTTTGAGAATTATCATTATTAAATAACTAAGTAAGGCTCTGTAATGTAAAAGAAAAAACCTTAAACGGGCAATAAGACGTTAATTTTGACTTGTGAGAATAAAGTTTAGCGATTTTACGTCACGCTTGTGCTCTTATTGCCCGTTTAAGGTTTTTTCTTTTATCATTATTAATTACAATTATCAAACTTATAAACGCGTATTTTTTGGCATTATCGTTAAAAAACTTTCATGACTTTTAGTCAACTATTTTTTTCTTATTTTAGAGAAAATCTAAAGTTTTAAAATTGTCTTAAGAAAAAAATAATCATACGTATAATAATAATATGTATGATAACTATTCTAACACGTTATTATATTAATAAGAGTTTTCTTGTTAAATATCGTACGATGTACATGGCGCAGTTTCGCAAAAATGCATGCCCAAGATCAAGGTACACTTTCTAAACTCGAAATTATACATGACGTGCTACAAGCGATTCGTTGTCGGAATTTGTTTTCCGTAAGGGGATTCAAACATCCATCACGAATGATATCAGTGTTTGCGCACAAATGTAAGATCGTATATATGTATTATCCCTTCACGTGTTCGTCGTGTATCGTTCTGTTTCCCATATCGAATTCTTTCGTACTTTTCACTCCGAAAGTGGCGCATTCCGAAGCCATCGAGAAGCCATGGAACATGAAACTTCTCCAGTGAAGTCCCGGAGGATTTTAACACTCCAACTCCGTATTGATTGCGGGTTTACTTATTACCCGGGTTGATATAATCTCGCCTTCTGTTTTCTTAAACCGAAGTTGAAAGCGAACGAGTTTTTGAAGTCGAAGTAAAGCTTTTGAATTTATACGACTTTCGGAGACTGTAAGATGCGCACACATGACGTTCAAACTTTACTGAAAAATTTCTTTTATAATTTAACTGGGTCATCTCTCCACTTCCTTACGGCGAAAAGTGCCGCGAGACGTTATATAAACTTTTAACTTTCGTGCGCCTCTTAAAATTTATGTCGATTTAACAATATAAGCTAATTTGTACAAACATCGATTTTGCCGTTGCATTCTCTGTCGATCGTGAGGAGTAAATATTATCTCTGCGAATTGAAGCGCGTTCGCGGTCCCACGACGTGCACAACCTTTTCTTTACCTCGTAATTTTTCTTGTTCTTTGTCAAGTAATATTATTGTTTCTCGTTCCTCTCTCTTGTCGTCTCTAGCACTCTTGTTCCTTGGTGACGCACCTGGGAAACGTTGTTGGTCGGGAACAAAGTTTCTCGAATAGTCCCCTGGGAACTTCCTTGAAGGACTAGACTGGTGTTGATAGGGGACTTGTTTATTTTCGTGCAGATGTAAGCCGGATAGCGTTTATAACAGTGAACGAAAACAAAGTACAAGTTGCATACGTATAGTTAGTTGGGCCATATTTAGGTAGTTGAGGTAGTAAGCGATCAACCGCTATGCCTGAATTTGTATAGCGTTATATAGGATCTTTAGGTTTTAATTACAAATTCGATGAATTGATGAGGCGACATTTACAGAGCAAATATTGTTAATTTTCTTTATAAACATGCCAAAACAATATGGTTGGCCAGCGTAATTTCTCCAATCTCCAAGATCACCAGATCTCACATTACTAGAGTTTTATATATTTTTTTATTGTAACTTTTTAATAAAATTTCTATGGATCTATGTTTAAAAATTTTTTTCTTAATTTTACACATAGAACAAACTAACGTAGTTTGGCCATTAAAAAACCTACTCTAGAGTTACGAGATACAACATTGGTTTCATTAATAATAATTTTCTTAAAGAATGAACTGAGAAATCAATTATCGGAAAAGTTAATGTGTCTTCCATATATTTTGATAAACATAATTTCAATTTATAATCTCAGAAAGGAATTTATATTCCATTTTGTTAGATTTTTCAATGTTATCGAAGATAGACATTTATATGGCCAAGATGTAATAACGTCAAACTTATAAAATATTTTTATTTCTGTCTTTTATACTAGTGGTATAAAAGTCTAACTTTATTATCTTTCTCGCAGAGAACTTTTCTGAAATATTGTTCTTGACGTTTGAGATTGTTCATATTTTGGATATCTACGTTAAATGCAAAACGCAAGCGTAATGGATAATAAAATATATTATATCATTTGTGAAATTAGCGTTTGATTTTTGAATGTCTAACGCATGTGATTGCCCGACGCAATCGACTGTTAACCTTAAGCATTAACCGATCATCAAATTACATGACACCTGCACGATTGGGTATACACTTCGGCGGTAGCCGCGCGTCACCGGTCTAACGATTTATCGTCGAAACACGTAGTGTGTGACATTTATCAGGATAATAATTAATTGTGGGTTGCGCAAGGGGGGCGCGGATGACTAATGGCTAAACC